AGTATACACAGAATGTCCTTCCATGACCTTTCTATACTAAGGACACAAATTAGCAAATTACATTTCCACTCACCGATTATATGAAATTGTGAAAGCTCAAGAGTTATTCCAGAGTTATCTCAGAAGAGGAAAGTGGAAGTCATCTGACACTGTCTGTGCCTCAAGTACGGCATAGGAGTATGAAGGGAAAGTCACTTGAATACATTCTTTTAATCTTGTTCAGTCTCAACAAACTTCTTTGACAAGTAATTAAAGATATGGGAGCCAGCTTTTTAAAAAATAGGACATTCAATTTTCCAGCATGTGTGGCTTTGTGTTAATAAAGCAATAAGGGTACCCTGGTCATTTTGATATTTTAACTTAGTGAATTTACTACAGCAGTATTTCTTAAACTATGTTTTTTTTAAATTTTATTATGTTATGTTAATCACCATACATTACATCATTAGTTTTTGATGTAGTGTTCCATGATTCATTGTTTGCATATAACACCGAGTGCTCCATTCAATACGTGCCCTCCTTAATACCCATCACCAGGCTAACCCATACCCCCACCCTCTTCCCTCCAGAACCCTCAGTTTATTTCTCAGAGTCCATAGTTACTCATGGTTCGTCTCCCCCTCCGATTTCCCCCCCTTCATTTTTCCCTTCCTGCTATCTTCTTTTTTTTTTTAACATTAATATAGTATTTGTTTCAGAGGTACAGGTCTGTGATTCAACAGTCTTACACAATTCACAGCACTCACCATAGCACATACTCTCCCCAGTGTCTATCACCCAGCCACCCCATCCCTCCCACCCCCCAGCACTCCAGCAACTCTCAGTTTGTTTCCTGAGATTAAGAATTCCTCATCTCAGTGAGATCAAGAACTCCTCATCTCAGTGAGATCATATGATACATGTCTTTCTCTGATTGACTTATTTCACTCAGCATAATACCCTCTAGTTCCATCCACATCATTGCAAATGGCAAGATTTCATCCTTTTGATGGCTGCATAATATTCCATTGTGTGTGTGTGTGTGTGTGTGTGTGTGTGTGTGTATCTTCTTTATCCATTCATCTGTTGATGGACATCTTGGCTCTTTCCATAGTTTGGCTATTGTGGACATGGCTGCTATAAACATTGGGGTGCACGTGCCCCTTCAAATACATTTATATTTTTGGGGTAAATACCCAGTAGAGCAATTGCTGGGTCATATGGTAACTCTATTTTCAACTTTTTGAGGAACCTCCATACTGTTTTCTGGAGTGGCTGCACCAGCTTGCATTCCCACCAGCAGTGTAGGAGGTTTCCCCTTTCTCTGCATCCCTCCCAACATCTGTCATTTCCTGACTTGTTAATTTTAGAAATTCTGACTGGTGTTAGGTGGTATCTCATTGAGGTTTTGATTTGGATTTCCCTGATGCCGAGCAATGTTGAGTACTTTTTCATGGGTCTATTGGCCATTTGGTGTCTTCTTTGGAAAAATGTCTGTTCGTGTCTTCTGCCCATTTCTTGATTGGATCATTTGTTCTTTGGGTGTTGAGTTTGATAAGTTCTTTATAGATTTTAGATACAGCCCTTTATCTGATATGTCATTTGCAAATATCTTCTCCCATTCTGTCTATTGTCTTTTGGTTTTCTTGACAGTTTCCTTTGCTGTGCAAAAGGTTTTTATCTTGATCAAGTCCCAGTAATTCATTTTTGCCCTTGCTTCCCTTGCCTTTGGCGATGTTCCTCTGAAGAAGTTGCTGTGGCTGAGGTCAAAGAGGTTGCTACCTGTGTTCTCCTTTAGGATTTTGATGGACTCCCGTCTCACATTTAGGTCTTTCCACCATTTGGAGTCTATTTTTGTGTGTGGTGTAAGGAAATGGTCCAGTTTCATTCTTCTGCATGTGGCTGTCCAATTTTCCCAACACCATTTGTTGAAGAAACTGTCTTTTTTCCGTTGGACATTCTTTCCTGCTTTGTCGAAGATTAGTTGACCATAGAGTTGTTTTATAGAAACTGCTCAGATAATTTAGAAAAATAATGTAGAAGCTATTGCTAATCCTCTTGTATGTTCACATTGTACATTAGAATAGTGAAGACTTGGAGAAATGCTCTAATTAAGAATCCTATTTAACTCTGTTTGCAGTGGATTCCTTTATTTTTTTGTATTTTATGTGAGATTTTGCTTATTTTATAATACTTATTGACGTGAACATCTCTAGGAAACAACAAATATAGCAATAATAAAGTATTTATGATAGGTTTTCAACCTTTGGACATAACTAATCTTTGTTAGGGTCAAATCATCAATCAGTCTGATGATTAATTTGAATGAATCAGCCCACAATCAAAATAGCATTGCAATTTATTGTACAAGAAAAGAGCATGTAGCTTTTAACAGCCTCCCAAATTGGAAATACAGTAACAGAATTGAGTACTAGTAAAAAGGATTCAAGCCACTGTTAAGGATTACCAGACTCAATATGGACCACTATGTAGTCACAAGATACATGCATATAATTTATGTAAATTTGAATTATATATTAAAAGCAAAAAAAAAAAACTATTTTTTCCTCATTATCTCTCTTCACCTTCATCTCCATCTTCAACTAGACCCCAGTTTAGAAAAAGGGAAGTCAATGTAGCAATCAAAGAAAAACCAAAGACATGAACTCAAGGCCTTTAGTGGGGACTCTGTCCTGAAAATTCCAAGGGGTCCCTTTCAGAGTCTTCAAGAGTTGCGTGTGTACAAGTTGTATGGCCACTGAATGTCTGACTTTTGTGTTTCTAAAGACCCAGGGCCAGGTGATTTAAGGGTAATTTAAAGGATTTTTATGGGTAATTTTGATTATTAGAGATTTTTATGTTTTACCTTATCCACTAACCTTACAGCCTAACTCCCATTCTCATATGATTTTAACAGAACAATACCAGAGTTATATAGCATGCATACTCCATCCTGCTTCATAATGGAGGAATTTTGATTTCATGTGGTTTCATCATATGTTTTCATACGCTATTGGTTTCTAGTTAAAGCTGAAATAGTTCATATATGAATGGTAAATACTATTATGTTGAAGCATTCCAAATATGAATATTAAAACTATGAATCTAGTTAAGTCTCTATGGCTTCTTCCATTCTTTAATTTTATAAAAAATTAAAAACTAAATGAAATTTGGATTCATCTTCAATATTCTAATAAAAATAATTCAATGATTCACTTCTAATGGGAATATTTTTCATTACTTAGAAAATAGATTTGGGGGCACCTGGGTGGCTCAGTCATTAAGCATCTGCCTTCGGCTCAGGTCATGATCCCAGGGTCCTGGGATCGAGCCCCGCATCGGACTCCCTGCTCCGCGGGAAGCCTGCTTCTCCCTCTCCCACTCCTGCTGCTTGTGTTCCCTCTCTCGCTGTATCTCTCTCTGTCAAAATAAATAAAATCTTGAAAAAAAAAAAAGAAAATAGATTTGACTCAAATACTGAACAAAAAAGGTTACTGCTCTACTATTTAATATAAACTCTAGACCTAATAATTTTTCAATGATGTATTTATTACCCCAGAGAGCTAATAACATGCTTATAAAAGCACTTTTACTATCAGGTATTTTGTAAAACCATATAAAATATTTTTTAACAATTTTCATATATCTCTATAAGGAGAATAATATAATTTATTGCCAGAATCAGTTAAATACACAATTCTTAGTTAATTTTACTATAACTTCTAAGGTTACTTCCATGTTTATTCTGTCTTTAACTTACATAAAACTATTCTGTATATATATGTATATATATGTACATATACACACATACATATATATGTATGTATTTGTAATGAATACACACACACCTGCTAGCCTTTCCAAAATAATACCTTTATATTATTTTTATATTAAAAGTACAAAAATATGGGGCTCCTGGGTGGCTCAGTTGGTTAAGTGTCTGACTCTTGATTTCAGCTCAGGTCATGATCTCAGGGTTGTGAGATCGAGTCCCACATCATGCTCTGTGCTGGGTGTGGAATCTGCTTAGGATTCTCTCTTTCCTTCTGCCCCTCTCCCCCCTACCCCAGCCCTCTCAAAAAAAAACCTACAAAAAATATCCCCAACTGCAATGCCCTTTGCATTAGATATTAGGAACAAAAATACAGATGTCTGTATCACTCACTTTAAGATCCATCAACGCTGGTGGGGCGCCTGGGTGGCTCAGATGGTTAAGCGTCTGCCTTCGGCTCAGGTCATGATCCCAGGGTCCTGGGATCGAGCCCCACATCGGGCTCCTGGCTCAGCGAGGAGCCTGCTTCTCCCTCTGACCCTCCCCCCTCTCATGTGCTTGCTCTCTCTCATTCTTTCTCTCTCAAATAAATAAATAAAATCTTAAAAAAAAAAAAAAAGATCCATCAACGCTGGGTTCCTTTTTCTTGTTAACCCAAACTTGCATTGATTTTGCTTTGTTTAATTTCATATTAATATCTGTGCTTTGGGCTGTCTGTAACAGCAGAAATTACTTTTTAATAAATAATAAATTCTTGTTGAATGTTTGAGAATAAATAAATAGAGGCTTGACCAATGAATTCTCTGTGAAAAGGAGAAGGGACTATCATAGCAAATATAAAAAAGGCAAAAGGGTAAGGATTCAGTGACAGGTTAGAAAGTCTAAGAGTAAAGAGCCTGTGGCTACTTACCGTCCTTTGGGGGTTAGGACTGGGCTATTCCTCAGGTTTGAAAACACAGTTTTATGCAAGAGGAAAAAGTAAATAGCAGTTTGCAAGATATGGGTTTTCTCAAGATATATCTAGTATAAAACCCAATTAGTGGCAAAAAGCAGAAAAAAGGTAAACTGATAAGTGAAACTGACCAGATAAAAGCAGCTGATTTGAATATAATGGAAAAATTAGAGATTTTTTTTAATGGAGTATGAAAACATTAGAGGTAAGGATATTGTAAAAGGAAAAAAAAAAGGAAGTTGGGTATTTTTTGCTTTATCTGACTTTTAAATGGTCTCCATGGGTTTTTTCTTGTAGAATGCCAGAATCCCCTTGTGAAGTTCCAGAATATCCTCTGTTTGTCACAGTCGGTGACTGGCTGGATTCTATAAAGATGGGGCAATATAAGAATAACTTCATGGCAGCAGGGTTTACGACTTTTGACCTAATTTCAAGAATGAACATTGAGTAAGTGGTCCTAGGTTTATTATTGTGTTTAGCAGTCCACTCAGGAGGTTACAAATTCAAATACTGGATCAAGAACACCATGATTCAACTACATTTCCTAACGCTAGTATGGCATTTCCACATCTTTCCTCACCATTTCTGATTATCATTCTAGTGGAAATTGGACATTACACTTTAACTATTTTCCTTTGGAAGAATATGTTTAATTCAAATAGCTGTTTTAAAAAGTTGTTAATGCTTTCTTAAATGCATATTACTCTCATTCACATCCTAGACTTTTTACATCAGCACAGTTTACCTAGGCAAATTACTTATGACTCACATATACTAATCTTGCATAATCAATTCCTATTACTTTCATCAAATGTAATAATTGTAATCATACATTATCATGTAATTTCAGAACTCCTTCCCTATATTATTAAAGTTGGACATTTTTCCATTGTCCCAAGAATTATTCCTTGCCTGGGTGCAGTAAAATGTTCAACATGTGCTTAAAAAGTAGATACTAAAACTAGTTGGTTGAATCATATGAAATTCCCATTATTTTGAAATAGTGATGGCAATTTCATATAGTTCAACATAATACAACGGCATTTTTTTCAGATTATTGAATGACCATAGGTCCACATTATACCTTCTATTATTTTGCTAATACTGTTGAAAAGTTATATCATTATCTAAATTGTATGCCTGGGGTACCTAGGTGGCTTAGTTGGTTAAGCACCTAGCTCTTGATTTTGGCTCAGGTCATGATCTCAGGGTTGTGAGACTGAGCCCCACGGCGGGCTCTGTGCTCAGCAGGGAGTCTGCTTGAGATTCTCTCCCTCTCCCTCTGCCCCTCCTCTCTCTTTCTCTCTCTGTCTCTCTAAAATAAATAAGTCTTTTTAAAAATTGTATACCCTTTAGGTCTATGAAATGTCTGAACATTATGTTGGTACCTGAATTTGAAATTTTTCTTTGTATCCTTAAATTTGAGGTAGACTTGATACATTATCTGGCACCAGGGAGAAGAAAAATGTAACAAAGTCTTGATGTTCACTTATATCTCTGCTTAAACTCTCATTTTACCAGCTATACAATTTTTGTTAAATTCATAAAGCAAATCTGACATGGTACATACTTACCTTATGTAAATCTTCATTTCCTATCTCCTATACTTACCAGATCTAAATGTTTCTCCCCCCACCCCCAACTCTATCTCTTTTTCTCTCTCTTCACAGTGATATTAGAAGAATTGGAGTCCTACTCATTGGACACCAGAGACGGATAGTCAGCAGTATACAGACTTTACGTTTACACATGATGCACATACAGGAGAAAGGATTTCATGTATGAAAGTACTACAAGCACTTGTGTTTTGTGCCTCAGCATTTCTAAAATTAAAGATATCCTCTCTACTACCCTTTCTTCTGATTCTCCAAAAATCACTTCACAAACTGCAGTCTCCTGTTCAGACTACGGGCACGCACCTTTTGTTTATGCTTCCAACCTGGATTTTAAAATTATGCCTCATAGCTCCTCTGAATAACCTGCAAATAAAACCCCGGCCCACTGCAGATTATCACTACACAATGGTAAATAACTCAGCATGGATTTGTAACTTTGTACAACAGTATTTGCGAAGTGTTCATGAATTTAACCCAAAGGAATTTGCCCACATGCGGCTTCCTTAATGATGTATTTAGAAAGTTTGATGGTAGATGAAAAAGAAATAGTTGACCTTTCTTTCATGTTTTGTGATCAAGTAGCTTCCAAACTGACATGAATATTTTTAGATAATTATATTCAACTCTATGGATCATATTGTTACTTTATTTAACTGTTGATGCCTGGTGTTGTTAGAATTATTTGCAGAAATAACCAATGATGTCATTTGTTGAATTCTTGTCAGGTGTGACTGCACCTAAGAAGGGGGTTATCAGGGAGGGAAAGGGAGAAACATACTGTGCTTTTCAATCTTCTAAGGCTGGGTTTGTCTATTTTTTTAAATTAACTTTATAGTGTCCTACATATTTCATAGTATGTGGTAGTTTAGAGGCTTTTCCCTTCTAAGTTTTACTAACTATAGTATATTTCTCTCCTACCTTATGAAGATCACCACAGAAAGACCAAGAGTGGATCCAGTGTTCTAAAGGCTTTCATTGAGTGAAGCATGAAATAAAAACCATGTCTATTCCCTTGGTTCATTTTCACAAGTTTCCAAAAGCAGTTATCAAAGCACTGAGAAAATTAGTTATTTTCAGTAGAATTGCTTTGAATAAAAGATCTAAGATTATCACCTTAGATTTAATGTAAAAAGAGTAATTAATTTAATTTAAACACAATTTTATGATAGCTATATGGTGCCGCAAAAAATAAACACATCTAACTGTCTGATATTGGTGCATTTTGCAAGTTTAAGAATCTTTATATTTTGTTCCTAAAAAATAAGTTACATGAACATGCTGAGCTGTTTTCCAAACCTTTCAAGAGACAAGTATGCCACTGCATGTTCCAAAGAGGATATGAACAGACCTAACACATGAGCATATATATATATATAAATTGTGTGTCAACTGGGCCCATAACACAATAACATAAAAATGTGAACACAGCTAAAGTGTGTTGTCATAATTGTCTCAGAGGCTGCAAAAAAAGGCAAATATATTTTTCAGTGAATTAAGCTGAGTCAATTTATCAAAAACAGTGCTGCTTTACGAGTAAGTTCAATTGTAAAATCAGCTGTCGTCTGTAAAAGTATAGAATGGCTCTTGTGCTGGGTTTGGAAGAGTAGGGAGGATGTGTTGAGAAAGAGAGATTTTAAAAAGAGCAAGTTGTCTAAAGATCATTATTTAATAAATCAGTTTTTCTTTGATCCAAGACATAAAGGTGCCCAACCCACATTCTCCAGTTCCTACCTAAATTTTTGGTAATAGCAGCTGTCTTGTATTAAAGGAGAATCACTTTTATTCTTTTAAGATTTGTTGATTGTCCCATTAGACTAGACCCTTCTACATACATTCTTTTGCTGATTTATCTCCTGATTTTTGTCTACCACAGCTTAATTTTTCTCATTTCAAAAAAAAAATTGTATTAAGCTAGAAGGACGAGTCTTTTAAGTATTCCTTAAAGTATACTAAAAAAGAAAAAGGTGAGAAATTTATCACTTTTTAAATAAGTGTGTCAGAAATAGCTAGCAACATTTTCTAGGCACCACATGCATGGTCATGCATCACTCATACACTATCTGCTGTTTGCTTGATACATTTACACAAACCTGGATACATGTAGAGGAAATACAAAATTTCCATACTTACCTGTCTTCAAATATATATTAAATAAGAACAGATGTAAAACAGATTAAATTTATTAATCATATATTTATTTTTATAATACAACAAAAAAGTATTTAGAAAAATAAGGAATAGAATAATTATGGTCTTCCATAGGACCCTGTCAGCAACATCTGTATACTTTGATGAAATAAATTCTATAAAGTATTTAAACTTCTATGAGATGGGCATTCAGTACGTGCAAGATTAAAGTTCACTGCTAAGAATTTTTTTCTTAAAAAAGTACAGAGATCTTTTTCTATAACTGATTAATTTATATTTCTTTTTTTCTTCCCTAACATCTTCCTCTAGTATTATAAAACTGCCTTTCCCCTTCATCTCTTACCCCAAATGCTCTTTAAAATTTCTTTAGAATTACATTTATATTTTTCAGAACTGTAAGCATGATAATCTTACGTGTGATTTTGAACCTCATCATGGTCAGAAATGTTGCGTTCACACATGGCTGAAATATTTGTGCATGATTAAACAGAAACATTAAAAAATTAAGGATATCTATTTCTTAATCACCTACCAATCACAGATCCCTGATCCCAAGGATGTTATAAGATCCAGGAATATTAACAGTTAAATTACCAAATTTATTTGGAAATTTCACATGAAATATTTTGAGATTTACTAGTATACATATTTAGTAATTAAAACTGTTTAATATGCATAAGTATAGAACTTAATTATAGAAAGAAAATTAGTAACTTACATAAATCACAGCCTTCAGTAATGATTTTTGATAACTTCAATATGCATATACATTCATGTACCTGCTTTATTTTAAATTTTCTAATCTATACTACTGAGGAGCTTTTTGGATTTTGTAGATCAGACAGTTGAAGAAACCATTTTCATTTTATTTCCTGGGTGGCCAGTTTCCAGTCTATAATCAACTCATTATCCCATAGTATAAGGCATATTTGGGAAAAAAATGTAAAAACAATGCACAATCAAGAAGAGAGATTAGGTATATAAATCATTAAAAAAGCAATCAGAAATTGCAAAGCTCTTGGCTTAACAGGAATAAAAAATTACAGCACTTTTGCACTGAGTTATCTTATAGCCGTTGATAAATAAGTTACGCATGCCATTGGGGCGCCTGGGTGGCTCAGATGGTTAAGCGTCTGCCTTCGGCTCAGGTCATGATCCCAGGGTCCTGGGATCGAGCCCCACATCGGGCTCCTGGCTCAGCGAGGAGCCTGCTTCTCCCTCTGCCTCTGCCTCTCTCCCTGCTCATGCTTTCTCTCTCTCTCTCTGTATCTCTGTGTCTCAAATGAATAGATAAAATCTTTAAAAAAAAAAAAAAGTTACGCATGCCATAATAGAAAAAGATTTGTATACTTTAATACTCTGCATTACTCTTTAAAATCTATCCAGCTATCACCAAATAAAACAGCTTTTTTTTTTAACAGCCTTTTAACTACAGTTCTAAGACCTATCTTAGCCCTCAAAGGGAAAACAAATCGAAATTCAATTCTTGAAAAGCAAAGTCTTTATAGAAGTGCTTCTGAAGAGGTGGTGAAGAATTAATCTCAACCACATTGCTTAAAAAATCCATTTTTTATATCTTTCCCTACCAAATTTCTACTTTATAAATCATTATCCCAAAATTTTCACCAACATTAGGTTTCTTTTTTCTGTTCCTTCATTAAATTTTCTAAAATTTCCTTCCTCAACCCCCTCTGTTGTTCTCTCTTTATTCCTCCATCCCATCTCTTTTCCTTTCTCAGCTTCTACCACTCCACCCTGATTCTTATCAGCAAAAGAAAGCACAGAAAATCCAAAAAAGATCTTACTACTCTCCTTAGAAGAGGCTGAAGATGGAGGGAAGAAGGGAATGTTGCAGAAGTCATACATTAGTATTTTGGGTCCCACCACATAAATGGAAGCATTTGCACTCACAGAGAGGGAATGAACTTTGGTTTTTATTAACTGGAAATTAAGTGCTTTGGAAAGTAATTTCAAAATGGATGATGATGATCCTTTTCTATAGCTTCAGATAAGGAAATTTATTATTAATTTAAAAATTTTGTATTTTAAGAATCAAAAACTGTTATCAATTCACAGTTGGTGTACATGTGTTTATGTAACAGAGACTAGAAGCAAATATATCACATCTTTTAATATTATCACCTTAACTTTTCCAAGCTCAGATTCCATTTAGTAGAAAAGACTCATATCACTTCATGTTCAATCCGAAAATATTTTGATGCTTTTTATATGGAGACTCCAAAAGGTAGATGAGTACACTGAGTCAAATTGATGTTATTCTTTCATTAGGACACCAGGCACTGGAGTCACCTAACTTCGGTTTTTATGCTCAACATTTTCAGCAACTTTCAATCTTTATAATGTTCAGTAAAGACAGTATAAACTTTATTTAGTTCAATTTAACAAATATCTATGAAGTGTCTCCTACACACATAAGATTTTTATGGCAAAGATGAGTTTGGCTGTACTGTCCTTACCTTCAAAATAACTCTTAAGCTTAAAACTTAGAGGTTGGAGCCTATTTGCTATGCTTGCTTGCTGTGATTGCCAAGTCACTAAGGGCCAGCTCTTTCCATAGAACAAAAATATATTAAATAAATTAATAAAGCCTTGTCCAGTGTGGAGTGGGTTTGCAATCTTTATGGAGAAAAATTTATTTTGTACCTCAAATTCTCATACAACACCCCACACTTCCCCTAGCAGAAAGGAGCATGCTTGCAGGATTCTCCTAAGACAATCTCCTTAGGAATCACAGATTTTTCCTGTCCAGTGGCAAACTTTTCAGTTCATGTGTAGATTCACTACCTCAAAGGTGCCTCCAATTAGAAAACATCCGCCTTTTTTCAAAACAACTCTGGAGTAATCTCTTGCCCAAGCCAATTCACTGGTTTTAGTAAACGTACTAATAATTATGAACCTGCAATAGCTGCATAAAATTCTTTCAAACATGATACATTTAACAAGGGAAAGAGATGATTACTCATGCCTAGATCTAACATATTACTAAATGAAATAAAGGAA